GATGTAAAAAAGTTTTTGCGTGTGTTCTTTTTGTTCTTTCTGCTAGGTCACAGAAGAAAAGGGCTAAGGATACATCTGAACTCAAACCTTAGGTAGAAGTTTGAAAATAAAATGAGAAAGAAAATGATAATCCCTAAATAACTTAATATTTGCAGGCACTGGCTGAACTAACTGAACAGCAGACCCCTAAAAAAGAATTAGCAAGGAATCACATGAATATGAAGGCAAGGCAGAGAAAGAGACCTCCTTGCAGTAAAGTACTACAGTGGAAATACAATTAAGAAACACATTCTGGGAAGAGAGAAGAATATGGGAGAGCAAAGGGGTTGGAAAAGGCAGCAGAGAAGAGACAATGGAATTCAAGTAGGATTTATGATAATATATCAATGTCTGCAAACATCAGCAACAGACAGAACGATTCGAAGACACAAAAGTTTAGAAGAGACGGGACCTGAGATTCTGTACTTAGTTAAGCTAAGAAATGAGGAAAAAATGACTGAGAAAAATGAGCTGTTTGCATCCAATTGCATGAATCTATATACCAAAACTTAGAACCTACTGGTACAAGACAGTTTCCTGTGAGGAACGAGAACTAAATAAGCTACACTATATAGTTACATAGGGAAGACACTCAGAGCTACTACACAGCTCCATAGGGAAGACACTTGGACAACTGGAGGCCTTCAACAAAATTCTTCCAGTTCTGACAGACTGGAAGAGGTAACTCATTTGTGAGGTAACAAAAATTAAGGACTGATGCTGTGAGAAGATAAAATTACATGAAGACTATTCTTGATCAGTGGACTAGGATAGACACAACCATCTAACGGAATAATCTTGATGGAATAAATGATAAAAAAGCTTTAAATTAAAAATATTTGGAAAACTCATTTCAAGTCATTTTAATCTCCTTGTCTGATTCTTTTATCAGGAGGAAAAGAGTTGCATCAAAAAGGTTAAGGAGTATACTGTCACCAGCAGATAGAATGACATAGAAATAAACGTTAATATTGATGAAAGGAACAAAGCAATGAAGTGGTCAACAAAACATCTGTAGTTAGTCAAGCTAAGAAATGAGGGAAAATGACTGAGAAAAATGATCTATTTGCATTCAATTGTATGAATCTATAAACTAAAATGTAGAAACTAATGGCACTAGGCATAAAACTGGATTTAATGGGATGACAGAAATATCATAGAATTGCTATTATGACTGGACTGCTGCATTTGGCAGATAACAAGGGACAGAATAAACATGAAGATGGTGAAATATCATTGTACTATATAAATGCATATAAAGTATATTGTGAATAGACAGGTGCACAGATAAAACAAAACTGATTTGAATCAGAATCAATTTGTGGAAGAATTATAAGAGAAGCTCTATTGCTACAGACCACCAGATTTAACATGCTGAAAGGCAAGTCTATTGCTTGGGAACAGTCAACATGCTAAACTACTTGCAGAGACATTTCATGCCTACATTCTGCTTCCCGTGCTCAAATTACAGTGCTAGCACACTGAGCAAACGCAGGTGCTTCTATATTCATGATGTAGAATTCTGCTTTGTATCAGCTGCACAACAACAATTTATAAGTAGGCAACAATATATTTAGATCAAAACCAATTGTAAGTCTACTTATAATGGCCCCATAATTTTACTGTTAGCATGGCATCCTTCATGCATAGTCTGGGTAACTTGGGCATAATAAAAGGATCTACACTTACCTAATTAGAAAGAGAATAAAGAAAGAGAAAATGAGTTCCCTATGATTAAGGGTAATATAGGTATGGTTAGGCACTAACTGAACGTTTGCCTTTGTTTTCAGGAAGGGTATGACGTTGAAATGGAAACACAGCCTGAAAAGCTAAAAGGAGAAGGCATGCTGAAATTTAAATGACCATTTCTGAAGTGGAAACAAAATTCCAAGATTTTAGTTTTGTTGATTAAAGGCTAAATTTCCATCCCAGAACAGTGAAACAGACGTTGCACAAAACCATAAATCTATTAGCAATGTTTTTAATTAAACTATTAACTTGGAAGCATTATTATTTGATCAGAGAACAGAAATCACAGTACTTGAATTTAAGAATAGTAATAGGAGAGCAATCCAGACAAATTTTGGCAATTATAACCCAATAACAAGCGCTTCAGCACTTTTTGAAAAAAAGTGTTAAAATTCAAAGTGAATGGAAAACTGCTCGACTGTAACATGGCTTTACTAATAATAAATTGTGCTAGATTACCTGAAGCCTGATTTCCTAGACATGGGAAAAGTAATAGATCTGCCTGGTCTTTACCAATACGGTATTGTGCCATGCAGATTTTATGCATGCATGCACATGGGTAAAAGATAGCGTTACTACAAAAGTTGCAAAGAATATAGAGTTTCTCTGGAAGAGAAACTATTTGGCTGGAATGAGATCACCATGGAGTTCGATACAGAATGTCGAATGGATAAGCAAATGATGAAGAAGAGTGGGCATATTTCCAGAAGAGACTAAAGAAAGAAAATAATAGGTTAAGTATATTCCTGTATGTTGTAAGAAGGAAAGAACTGTGCTTCTCATGGGATACTTCAGACTGACTGGTGCACACAAATTTTTATACTAAGTATCTTTAGAATTCCTTAAAAAACATTGATAACAGTGTGCTGTCAAAAGTTGTTAAATATACTGCAGAAAAATTCCTAGTCTAGCTTATCCAATATATTCTATTGTACATCCAGCTTCTTAACGAATAAAGAGGCTTGTTTACGTAATTAAAAGCTATGCCAGTTTGGGACAAGTGATCATGATTTGAATACATTTATTAAAAGTAAACACAATACATTGACTGAGTTTAAAAAGAGCGGAAGTCAGAGTGGAAACAATTCACAAGACGGCCTTGGAGTTTTGCTCAAAAGGTTTTAGCTCCCCAGATTTCAAAACATTAAGAAACACTAGCCTAAAAATGTGCACAAGCAAAGTTTGTTGGAAACTTCACACTGCTCATTAACAGTGCAGAAGGAGCAAAAGTATGTAATATAATTTTCTTTTGTGTTTTGGGGAAAAGCTAGATGATTTATTTACATATAACAATAGGGACTGTTTTCCAAGCAACTCAAAGACAAGTATGTTCAAGAAGTCACTGAACTAACATATTTATAAAAATCTGATGATCAGCAACAGAGAATTTTAAAAGACTTGGCCTCAGCAAAAATTTCCAGTAACATTCATGAGTCACAAAATATTGGGAAAATTCCAGAGGACAGAAGAGAGATAATACTAAACTTTTGGTATGCTTTATGCAGGATGCCAGATTATATTATTACAATTCTATCTTGCTATTCCTACTTCAGAATCTTTTTACTTTTTTTTTTTTTTTAAGTATTTGGAATCCAGAAGTTCCAAATATCATAAAGATTCATTTATAACAGTAAATGTAATGATCTCATTCTGCTTATTTTGAGTATTATTAACTCTCTGCAACCAGTCCAAGATGTGGATCTGAACACCACAACCACGCTTTTCAAAAATCACTCAGAATACCGCAGATGAAATGGAGGGCTATTTTAGGGCATGTTTGTGATCTATTACTTTTAAACTTTTGAAGGTACGATATCTTGTTTTATTTATTTCAAAACAAGTTAAATAGGCAAAATCAAAACAGATCAAGAATGATCCGACACTAAAACTGAAAAGAAATTGGAGGACTACAGATAAAAGTTCTGACTATTTCATCTATGTGCTAAAAGTCAGATAGTTCTTCATTTATCTGAGCAATACCTCTCAAATCCTTAAAAAGAAATTAATTAGGGATTTGAATTGTATTAGCACCTACGAAGAAGTTTATACTTTGTGATGTATAACACAACATAATCAGAAGATATTATACCTTCTCTGTTGATTTCTGTTGATTTTTTGCTGGAATGCTAGAAATAATTATATTTTATTTTCCAGAATTCCTGTACTAAGCATTGCTCACAACAACTCACCTTTGTAAACACATCACGACTTTTATAGCATAGTCCACAGTTCAACGCAATAACACGGGACTCATTTTCACAGATGAAAACTGTAACTGTGACTTCTTATGTAGAGCAGGTAATTGAATGAATCAAAAGCTTTTTGAAGCTACACATTATATGCAAAAAGCAATCCAGGCTCCTGCCTGGTTCCACACTGGAGAAGGACTCAGAGATGCATGCCCCTCTACTTTCCCATGTGTTCGTTTCCACGCATAGAAAACACAGGCACGTAGCTCCGACAGGCACGTATCTGGCGCCATAGCACACCAGAGCAGGAAACCTCGACACAGCCTAAACCATGTCTGTGACCATGTCTGTGCACAACTGCTTCGTTTACCAATCCAGTTCTTGTATCGTCACGTTAAAATTAGGCACACAAAACGCACAAAGTTTGAGCGTGAGTCTGTGAAAACTGTGGCATTAATATTTTCAATCTCACTGTTTCTCAGCTGTAATTGAAGGATCATTTAAAAGTGGTATCTTGCACAGCGCTGCCACACAATTTCCAAATTTGTACATATGAAATGCATTTTCCTCTCACTTTATTAGCTTTATTTTGTAATAACGGGAATATGTGCGAGACCTTGTGTGCAAGAGTGTGCATGCACATGTTCTTTTTAATTTGCTTTACAATAGCTTCCTGAATCAGATTCCAGGGTCTTACAGATTAGGCCTTTATTGACTATAACACCGCACCTAATATTTGACACCTAAGCAGTTCTAAAATAAAATACTGTATTTTACGCAACTCTTACCACTAAATAATAAATCAAAGTCCTTTTTTCCTGCTTTTAATGCTAAAAGGAAAGTAGCTGCTACAGTTAAAAAGAGAAAAATCAGAATAAAATCAAAATGAAACAAATACTTCTTAAGAGCTCTGACTTTCAATTAAATGACAACATTTATGAAGTAATGAAAACCTGGCAAATAGGACAAACAAACATGCTCACAGGCAGCCTAACAATGTAGATTTTTAGATTCATCACTTACGGCAGGTGGCTTCATCATAGCTATTTGAACAATCAGACGTAAAATCACAAAATTTGTCAGATGAAATACATTCTCCATTCCCACATGAAATAAGTCCCGGTGGACAGTAAAAAGATGAAGAATTAGTGCCTGCAAACTCTGTTTCCCCTTAAAAAATAGAAAGGAAAATACATGTAAAAACATATGTACAAAATTGTAAGGTTTTTTAAATCATTTTTGAATATAAGTGTACAAAGCACATGGAATGACCTATAAAGTGAGCTAAATTGCATCATAATTGATAGAAAACACAACTGATACTAAGTTCTGGGACTCTTAACCAGTAAATTATTCTCAACAATATTCAAATGTTTGAATGAAAATATATCAAAAACACCTTAGAAGTCAATGGCCAAGCTTCAGTTCAGAGGAGGGGCTCTGTGTAAAGTCTCTCTCTCACAAGTAGTTCAACAACCTGCCTTTTTTCCTCACAGTCAAAAACAAGTCTTCCACAAAAATTTCATGCTGCAACTGGTTTCAGAAACAATTTCTTCATAGAAATAGTGGATTCAGTTTGCAATGAAAATTACTGAACTTCTTGCACCACTACTAGCTTGCAACCTCAAACTACACACGAGAAAACACCCCCAATTTTAATGAAGAAAAAAACCCCAAAGACTGCCGATTTCATTTCAGCAGAGTTCTAAACAGAGAGCCAGTGAGAGAGGAATGACATGCTGCTTTGCATCTTTTTTGTTTAAATTAGCTTATTTAGATACTCATTACCATTATTTAGACAGGATTTTTTTTTTGAAAAAACACTAATTTTAAAAAATTTTACCTTTATGACTGATAAGTATATATGGGAGTTTTTGGGGAAAATAAGTAAAGCGAATTTTTCTTTAAATACTTAGCTGTTGCCAATTAGATTGTATGTGGGGATAAGGGAAATAAATATTAAAAATACAAGACCATAATTTTCTATTATGCCTTTAAATTTTCTAATCGAGAAGAAATTCATATTTCTGCTGGGTATAACCCATCTGTATTACCACTGACTGCATGTATTCCCACGCCATTTTAGAGTAGCAGTCATTAAAAATAAAGAGCACCAAAATGCAGCACAAGTCTGATGGAAGGTTATAGTTATTATATGTTTCTTATCTATTTGCACTTCAAGATTACAGAGAATGGGCACACAGACAAGTTTAGTGGGACTGTAACTGCTTAACTGTATGTTAGGTATCTAGTAGCAATGAAGGGTGCACCCCTTGCCCTAAGGAAAACGCAGCGGAATTTGCCCTTCAGTGGAAGGTGTAAAAGACTTTGCTTTTATCTCAGCATCAAAATGAACAACGCGAGATACCATGCAGTGAATGACATCTGGAAATTTCCACCACAGCTCTGCTTTCTTACAGGTATCTAAGACAGAAGCTGTCCGTTGAGTCTCAGTTTAATATAACAGATGGTGGGGAAAGTGTATTTCAAAATATTACAATAGAAGGAATTTAAATAATGTCTAAATAGGATCATATTCTTCATCCTTGGTAGATGTATACTGGTATGGCTACTAAAAATGAAAAAAGAAAAAAGAAAAGCAGGCAGTGACAAATTTACACTGGTTGAAAATCTGGCCCATGAAATATTTTAATTTTCTGGCTTACTGAAAGTACATGATATCATACAGCTGGAAGCTACCTCTCTCTTGCTTTTTAAAAACATACAGCAATTAACTTTAATTAGGTAATGTAAAGGCCTATAACTTTGTAACTCGGATTTTACAATCTGCATAGTTGTACCGTTTAAACAAAATTACGCAGAAATCAGGTTGCCCATAACAGCTTAAAAAATTTGTGAACAGAGCTACTGTTTCATTGAATTACTTTGTCTGAGGAAGCCACAAAGTATCCACATAACTAGAATAATTTTCCTGAAAATACATTTCAACAAAACCAAAAAAAATTTGCAGCACAAATTTTGTCCTTCAGGTCTATTGAAAGCAATATAGCTTGCCTTTGCTTTCTTGGCTGATACTTGAAAGTGGTTTATTCATAACTGCACATTCCTCTGTTACACTGATATCATCAACAGCAACTGTAGCATTTTTTGATAGAATTGTAGCTCGTAAAATGATCTGTAAAGACAAAGAAATAAATAAGCTCATTAAAGATGGCATTATGACAAGATACATATATATTTCTTTATAATTTCCTACATCTATATAGGAAGTAAATACTGCCTACAACTAACTCTGATTACCATTAGCCAGCAAAACTGTAGATGAAATTCGAATGCTAGGACAAAAGTTGGTAATTTACTCTTTAATTCTCAAAGTCATAACTACCTTTACAGAAAGTTACATAACCCAAATAATCTGGTTTTAACCAAAAGCGGTAACACCATCGCTACCTGAATGAACTGTTTTGCTGGTAGAATCATTAGAAGTTATATACCTTTTTAAAGGAGCTATTCCAGGTAACCAAATGTGGGGGTTTACAACTCCATCTAACTGAGACAAGAATTCATCTATACTATGTCTGCTTAAGTCAACAAGGCATTTCCATACAACAAATCTACGCTGTGTGATGCGTGTGTTAAGATATATTTTAAAACACAACGTGTAAGATTTTCTGCCAGCTAGCAGAATCATCATCGATCCTCCTCATTTACAGTTTTCTACCTATAAATAACGATAAAGACGAAAAGATATCAAGTTTTTTTATTTAAAAAAATCACTTTTTTACATGTGCAGTAAGTGTAAGGTTGCAAGGATGCATTTGTAAGCAGAAGGAAATATTCAGCAGATCACAAATGGAAGGAAAGTTCAGTCATAACTTACCAATGATTGAGTTGCTTTCTTTTAGACCTCATTTTACAAAAATGAGACACAAAATGAAAGCCAAAACTTGTAATTTTGATTTGCTAAATATTAATATTTGAATTCCTGATTCCCCCAGCAGTTACATTCTAAATTTTATGAAAGTGTGGTTCCTGAGATTATGTAGAAATAAAATTAAACTCAACAGCTGCTAAATGTTTCTATGATCAATGCTGCAAGCTGAAGTCCAAGGATCTGCGCTTGTCCTGCCTTTAGCCAACATCTGTCTTTAGCCTTCACTTTGACCAGCAGTTTTTATAGCATGTCCATTTTTTGAAACTACTGCACAACTCCTGCTTGATTTTTATTATGAAAAGGTGATTTTAATGCATGCAATGCTGAAACAATAATTTTCTTCTTCTTCTTAATAGGTACATCTATAGAAAGAGCTGAATGGAATTCCATTTTATACAAACATTAAATAGAAATTCTCATTTTATATTTCATTTTTAAAGTAAGTTAATTCTAAAGACTAAATTAGAATAAGTGTCTGAAAGCAATAAAAATGTAATTTCTAAATACCTGAAAAGGTAAGTCCTCAACTACAGTTTCTACAGGTATACTGGCTTTTGTCCACTGCATCTCAGGCAATCCTGAAATGTCACACAGTTTTTCCAAACCTCCACCCAGGGCAGTTGTCCTCAAGAGAGAAAGCTGGGAGTCCTGGGATAACTGATACCAAAATCTTACCTGTTGAAAGAATTTTTAATGAAACACTGTAAAAACTACATCATCAGTCTGCAATACATTCAATACCAACTCACATACTTAACTTTGTAACACAGAATGACATATACACCCACAGGTCTAAACACAGCTTTGGCACAGAAGAAACAAACCTATAAAACTATGGCATGTTGAGGAGAAGTATTATGTCTAAAAGTAAAACCCATAATAAAAACAAAAATTATTTTTAAAATTTACTTTCAACTTATATCTATCAACTGCTGTAGACTGATTGATATGACCTCTCAATTTATTTTTAGCTTCATAATGCCTTAGGAGCTTCTCAGAAATAAATTTTCCTTGCAAGTGCGGAGTACTAGGACAGTTTCAAAAGCATGTTAACCTCAGAAGTGTGACAGTTCGGGTATTTACATAAAAGAAGCCTTAGCCTTATGATCTTCTGTTTCCACAATCAAGCCAAATGACACATGTTTAAAACAACCTACTGATCTCCTAGAACAAACAGATCCATCAATATATGGGAATAAAAAAACAATGAGTGCAGGTAGCTGAGACAAAACTAATTTGCCAAGCAGAGAAGATGAGAAAACAAAGAAGCTAACTCCACTATCCCTCCTCTGCAAGGGAGAGATTCCCCCCTCCTTACAGAGGGAACAATACAGAGTATACTTGATAAAATTTATATTTGTAAAATTGAATAATGTTAAATAATATTAAATTTGTAAAATATTACCCAGAAAAAAAAAATCATCTAATAGAACTGCAGGGAAGAAATATGATTTTGATATACTGATTTTTTTTTTTCCTTCTGAGTTCTTTCCTGCTTCTTTGCATAGTAAGAGACTAAAATTCCTTCTACTGCAAACTTTTAAACAACAGAGCTGAAGAATGCAACCCATTTCAGGATAACAGCCAAACGAAACTATTGCATTGTTTTGCAGGATAACAAATACTAGAAAATCTACGTTTGACCTCAAGACAACCACAGACTTCAGTGAAGCAGATACATGTGCTATACAGCTTTCAGTTAGACAGGCAATGTAATCAAGCTCTTTTATTTCAGTAAGACAGCTAACACAGTAGACTCTACAGGTCCTGGAAAAGAATTATATTAGAGACTGTAATTGGCAAAACAGTCTTGACTCAGAAATGAATTTCTGCTTCATTTAATCTATGGCCAGTTAACACAAACTTCTAATCACGGATTCGGGTATAAACAAACACTTAAGAAAACACCTTTCCTCCCCTTCTACCAGAATTAACTTAAGTCAAACATCTATTATGCCCCCTTCCTAGTCTTAACTTCCCTTGTACTCGCTGTGGGTTACGCTCAGCCTGGCCCAATTCCTTTGGGGAGGCAACGGGTGGTGCAGGAGGTGGGGGTCAGCGCATACTGGTTTCTTCTTGCAGCTCCTTCCTCCTTACTCATTCTCCTCCTCTGCTTCTCGCTTCTTACTCTTTTTCCCCTGTTCCAGCCTGGATGCCTCACAGGCCCCAGATCCCCTCTGGGTGCCCATGCTCCAGCATGGATCCTTCACAGGGCGTCCCTGCCCCAGCGTGGTTCCCCCTCCGCTGCAGTCCCTCGGGGACACTCCTGCCCTGGTGTGGGTCGCCTGCAAGCACAGTCCCTTGGGACCTCCCTGCTTCAGTGTGGAGTGCCTCCTGCCAAAAGCACATTCCCTGCCATGTCTCTGCAGTGTCTCTTTCCGTGTGTCTCCTTGTTGCGTCTTGCCAATAACTTCTCCTCACATTTCTCCAAACATGTCTCCACAAATCTCCTCCCCTCATGGCGGCTGCTCTTTCAGGCAAAAAGGCATATTTGGGCAGGGGCACCATGATCTCCCCTGACCAGCTGCTGCTCTGGTAGCAGCTGGGTGGGTTGTTTAGGCTGATTTTGGAGCAGTTTGGAACAGGCTGTGACCAGCACAGGAGGGTTCACGGGCTCCTCCCACACAGGTGAGCCCTGCAGCCCTCCTACCCAAACCCTACCTGACAAAAAGATTTTCCTGAAAAAGTAGGGCATAAAAAGCTAGGTTATTGATTTGGATGCCAAGCAGTGTTTGTATTTACATACCTAACAGACAGGACCAAATTGCAGAAATCGTGCAAAAGATACTCTTAACTTTCCATAATCTGCTTGATCTTTAACTATCACAGATTAAATAAAAAGTCAACCCACTCAACACACGTGCTGGTATAGAGTACTTCAAACCTAGCTGCATTCTTCCAGGACCCTCTTTCTGAGGGCTTTACAGTACTAGGTAAAATAAGCAGCTGCGCTGGAAAGCAACACTGAGCAACTTAACCAGAGCAGCTTTTTATCACACTTTGAGCGAACAGAATAGTTTAGCAAAAGGTAAAACTGTGATCCAAAGTAGAACTTGAAAGTAAAAAAGAGCTCATTTCCAGAAGAATAAATCCATGTAAAAGTGTAAGCTTTAGCTCAAGTATATATGATGGTCAAATTTACTTTTTTTTTTCTTTTCTAGCACAACAGGGAAGCAGTTGAGTGTCCGGATTCTGAGACTTCTGAGAGAAGTCTTTTCATCACCAAATTATCACATTAACATATGCATTAAAGCTGTAGATCTTTTTCTGCCTAGCAAGTTGAAAAGCAAGATGAATCTGAGAACTGTTTAAGTTGAAAACATTAATTACTAGTCTGAAAATCATTATGCATACAGATTCACTACTGTTCACATCAGACCCTGAATTTAATTTGGCCATTAAATTGTCAAATACACCAAAGATATTACACTTTTGCTATGTGTGAACCAAGTATTTCCTTTTACTTATGTTCTGTACAAGGTAGATCAGCAATTAATGATAGAAATACTCTTTGTTACAACACACTCTGTTATTTTTTAAGCTCTGCTGCCTTCATGGTTGGTGGACTTGGCCTTTCAATTTCCCATAGTGTTTCTTTTTCTCAGACTCTTGAAAATTATGTATAGTACCAGATAATCTCAAAACCTATTAATAAATTGAAATACTTCCATGTAATATGTTTTATTTTTCACCAGGCAGCTTAAGGGACATAAAGGAGCAGATAAACAAACATTTTGCAAAATTAGCTGTTTGAAGAACTATACTGTAAACAAACTAGAACTGAGTAAGGTTTGTGTTTATCAAATAGCTTTCCAAACATAAATTGTTTATTCTGTGTGTTCATTTCATAAGAAATGAAATAAAATTATCCTTACTTTCTATGACTACATCTTCCACTTTAGGGAGATTACCTTGTCCACCAGCCATAAACAGAGAGCTGAGACTAGAAATTTGCTTCTGCAACTCCAAAACCTCAGCAAATGTAGATATTTGTTAGCTGACAGCTGTAGAAAGACTCAACTACAAAAAGCCACAGAAAGAAATTACTTTGAGCTGCAGTCAGCCAGTAAGGCACAGTATAAAATTGTTACCCTTCAACTCCAATTTTTTTCTTTTAAACAACTGGAGTCAAAGAACTTGTAAAGCCATTAATAAGCATAGATCTCTTTATGTAGATCCCTTTATCCTCTCAGTGGGACACCCAACAGAGGGCAACATCACACATTTTTACACAGCATAACATACCAATACACGTCCTAATGAGCAACCCCTACTCCTTGCTCCCTCTCAGAACTAAAAGTCTGCAGCGAAAATGTGGCAGAAAGCCAACCTTCCAGGCTCCAGAAACACTCTTTTCAGACATGTATGGCTGGATAAGGACTCACACTCATTTTGTTGAGTCTTAGAACTCTAAATAATGCAATATGTGCATACTCAAAAAAAGATTATATTTAACTTTGAACTAGACAAATGTATGCATATAATCATTGCATTTATGCTTATTTTGCATGCAGACCAACCTCTGCAATAGATCTAACCAGAAGAATTTATTGATTCACGTAGCAGATGTGCCCAGCTCACCTTAAGATTCTAGGAACAAGTTCATCTGAACTCAAAAGCTGCTTATCTACTCAGTATCCAAGTCTATAAAAGAGAAATGAAACTGCCTGAGCCTTCAGGCAACCTTTGTTCTCAAATTTTTAAATCAGTATTCTCTGCTAACTATTCAATATTGTTTCCCTGCTCTAAGTTAAGCCATGTCCCAGGCTTCTTGTTGTGAAGCCCTCAGAGCTCTAATAATACAGCAGTGTTGGAAACTGCCTAAAAGTCTCTTCTGTCAAAGTGTCGCTCACTACATTACTAAAGAAAAGTCACTTTAAAGTTAGACTGTTTGTTAACAAGAGTGAGAGCAGATCTGAAAGGATTAGGATTTCCATTTTTATGGTTAGTTCAGAACGTTAGCAGACTGCTATTCAGCCTATTTCGAACTAGCTGAAAAAAATAAATCCCTTACTGTAAAAATTTTATGTTCTTGAATTTTTTCATCTCAAAGGAAAGGTGTTAGGAGACCTGAAAGAAAAAAAAAATCTATTTCTGTTTGGCTGAAAAGATTTTGCTCAATTTCTCCTTCTGTCTTGGGGGAGGCGGGGAGGCAGGGTGGAGAAAGGCCACTAACTCTGCAAAGCTTCCCTCCCATGTATGTGGGCCACACACAGCGTCACGGCCCTCAGCATCCCTGCCTGCCCACCTAACTTAAAACCGAGTGAGAAAAGGAGCCCAAATGCTCTAGAGAGCCACTGAATCCAGAGCAGCACAGCTGGCCGCTGCCAGACTGGGCTTCAGGTTGAGGAGCACTAGCAGGTATGCCGCACAACACGTGCCACAGGAGCCAGAGGGAATCATGTAAGCCTTGAAGTTCAGAGCTCATCAGGGTTTTTCTGATATTCAAAGCCTGAATTATTACTCCAGTGAGCTAGAAGTGGTGAGGAGGGCATGCGAATTAGCACGTGAACATTAGCAAACGCACGGTGTATGCAAACGCTGGTAGTGTCCCTGGTCTGGCACAGCTCTGAATGGGACAGTGTGATGTCTTCTCTGTTTCCTGCAGTAGCATTCTTCAGGTATGGATTTCCTGAAATGTGCAGAACTTCTTATTTTACCCTCAATGGGGAAAATGGCCATGTATGTGTGTGTGTGTGTATACATATATATATATTTATATACGTATCTCACACCAGGGGAGATTTCTTTATATTCTATTTTAAATCTATGAATTTTGTTGGAAATTGCAACATTAGTCAAAAAATGGTATTGCCATTTTTCGTCTAAGGCTTTTCTATTCCTTAGCACTCCATGACCCATTTCTTTCTGGTAGGTCTCTAGTTTTTTGTCAGATCACCCACCATCCTGCTACTCTTGCATTCCTCTACAGAGCCGCAAGACATCTGACAGAAAAATACTTGGAGGTAAACTCTCGAGCACTGCATTGATCAGCTTTTAAAAAACAACCTTCTCAAACCATCAATTAAAATTTACTATGTGTTTGGAGGATGGTAGGTAATTTTCTCCAGTCACTTAATCTGTATAATAACTTCAAACAACAAATCTCCTGTTATGGATGTTTGAGGTAAAAGTATGTACTTCTTACAGATGACAGAGTGATTCTTTGCCAGCTCCTGCTCGTAGGTCAGGCTAATTTGAATGTGAGTGCACATGGGCCTAATGTTGTTGTTCAGCTATGTTTTTTCCCAGCATACAAAAAACTGAAGTATAACCTTAAATGCTGAGTCATTTTGTGGATGTGATTTAATCTGAATAATAATCTGATACAAACATAAGGCAGCAAAAAGCCTGCTGCATCTCACTTCACCCAAAGAGTCAGTCTGTTACTCCTTCCACCATTATTGAAACAGAGCCAGTTTGTCTGTAAACAACTCTTATAGCAAGAAGAGCACTGTATATGGACATCGGGTGACTGGCAACTTACAAAAGCGAGGACAGTTAGTATCAAACAGTTACCTGACAACAGGAAAGTCCAGGGGACAGCTTGATGAGGAAAGGACTCCCCAAGTGAGACATGGCTATCTCGGTGTTCCTCCGTTGTGATCCATCAAAGTAGATGAATGCTCCTGTAAACAAATTCAGAGAAATACATCCAACATCCAATGGCAGATAGTCACCTGAGAAAATTAACACTCCCTTAAAGGCCTCTGCAGGCATACGGACCTCATTCATACATCTAAACACATGGATTGGCATTCCTTTCAATTCAACCTCAGTAGGTTCAGTTCATCCTCTCTAGGAGGATGTTGTACTAGACTATGACAACCAGTATTTATATAGGTAAAAGACAAAACAGAGTTGCTAAACGCTCCTGCTGTTCCTCCCCAAGAAAACTAACATGCTTTGAGTCCACAGATGAGGAAAGAAGGGCAAAATAAAAACAGTCGTTTCAGCAGCTTGGGTTGCTAAAGCTACCCTGTCATAGTGTCTGCAAGCACTTAAAGCTGAGGAAATAAATACCAAGCAATACAAAGCAAGTTCAAACGCTGCTTCTGCAAGAGCTTTACTGTGCAGAACGCTCCCACTGGATGCATTCTTTCACCTGCCCTCTTCAGGCAAAAGCCTGAAGACCGCAATCCACCAAGCACAAATGCGACCTCCCATCCCCTGCCTCTCCACTCCCAGCACAGTCTTGGTCTGAGCTGGAACACAGAGCGCCCAGGAGATCAAACAACATAGACCTCAGCTGGGATCCCTAAAAGACACATTTTAATTGGCTTCAATAGCATTACAAGTAGAATTTAGAATTAAATTAATTTCCTTTAAGGTGCAGTATTCATTCTCAGCACAGCACAACCGATTTTAAGAAGGCAAACAATGTTGCAAATCATGGGAGCCAATGGAAAAAGCTATGTTTTCTCATGGGGACTACAGGCTTGACATTGTTGTCTGTGCTAGTGGGGATGAAAGCTTAATTAAAGATCTAATCTGAACTCTGGCAAACGAACTGCCTTTGGATTTGAACTACAGCAGATGTGGTTCAGACAAAGGTAGGAAGGGATAAATATCTTCAAGGGGCCCTAAAGCAGCATATTTTGAATGCCGTCAGTGCTGCCTTCACTGAATACTGAGACTTTTTCATGAAACTCTATGCAAAACAGCACTAAAGGCTCAGTCTTGTTTGCACATTGATATTATACTTATTGCCTTACATCTTGGAAAATCAGCTATTGTGCTGCCACAACTATACTCCCTAGCCATTTATTTCCCATGGATATATAATGAAGCAGAGGGTTAGGTCCAGCCCTGAGTGAATAATCACATAGATTTACCAAGAGTGGCACAAAGAGGTGATCGCTACAGCTTCTTGTACAAACAGGCATGCTTCACTTTGCAATGCAAGGGCAGCTCCCCTCGTTGGAATACAAGGGTACTTCAAAGGAGATACTCTCTTAATTTGCGGCCGAAGCTCTACAATAGCCTTGTTAAGATCTTCATTATCCAGATTTTGCTGCTATCCTCCCCAGGAGAGAAGAGATACGAATGCTCTACAGTATTACAAGCAACTACTGCAACCTGAAAGACCGTATTCCTGATTTAGTGTTGGCAAAAACTTGCTAAAAGAACCTCATTCCCTTTCCGTAAAGAGAGTAACTAGAATATAGGAGACTTAAAAGCAGTGATGTGGTTGACACAGGGTGCAGTGACAGATGGGTATAAACTCTCTGAAAGACCTTTGCACTGGCTTATGTGGGTTGAGAGGGTTGCACTATACACTAACTTAAAGATCTGCTTGAGGTAGGTGCTTCAATCTGCAGCCTACAACTCTTTATGTATGGAGATATGAATCTAATTTGAAATGAGTTGGTTTGGGTACGAAAGCAGCTTAAGTGCAGAAGCACGTACATCAGTCTGGGCTAATTTAACCTGCTTTTAGTAAGCATAGCAGATGATGGTTCTTCAGGTAGCCTTCAAGGACTGACTACTACACCTCAGGCCTCTTCAGGACCTAGACTGTGGGAAAGACATATCATAGGGCCCTTCACAAGAGCTATAAGTATTTGGAAGCTGTGACTCTTAGTTCTTTACTAAGGGAACGCAGTTTGAAGGGAATGCAGTTTAAAAGGAGTGCAGTAAGGCACACCTAGTGGCATTTACTCTAGAGAATGACAATAAAATAAAATATCAAATAGCTACTCAGGAAGTGAGCAGCAAGTGTTTGGTGCACTTGGAGAGCAATGGAAAAGATGGTATATGATCATGCAGTTTATAGTTAAGATATAGCATGCCTACACATGCTCACACTCCTCTATGTTTGCTCAGGCAAATTTTAATCCTGGAATTCCTTTATCTTTGAATGCTTGTGGTGCAATGGTTACATTTCATGTTCCTTTAACATGACCCTATGAGGTGTGTAGAGATCTGGCTGTGACATAATATATACCATTTTTAAAATTCTTGTTCTCCCTCTCCAATATCCCTACTCAAAGTGATATTGGACCATAATCCAGATTTTAAATAATCCAATCTGCTCTGTAAGCAGCATAATAAATATATTTTTAATATATTAAACTCATAAAATATTTGTGAAAATTATTTGACAATGACAAACATGCTAGGCGGTTTCACAGAATCGTTTAGGTTGGAAGGGACCTCTGGAGATCATCTAGTCCAACCCCCCTGCTCAAGCAGGATCC